ACGTGGTTTTTAGTTTATCGCCGCCGTGCTCTGTGTATTTTCAGCTTTGTTATTTGCTGTTGTTGCTTTTGTTTGTTACAATTTATTCGGGTTATCATCGTTAGTCAAAAGTTTTAATTACACTCCCGTCGCTGGGTAACAATGCCATCAGAGAGAAAGATTTCCAATTTCAACAGCTCCCGCCTTTTGTCGCTGTTCAGCTGGGTGTTAGCAACACACAAATAGAGAGATAGTAACCGGATTGCGAAAATATCTATTTGCGAATTGAGATGAAAAAAAAAGGAAATGAACTCGCAACTAATTGTCAAAACTTTATTCTCACCTGTATCGGTATAGATAAAATAAATGGATAAAGATCACACTTGAATTGTGAGGGGAGAGCGGGTTCATTAAATACTGACCAATTTCGTGTAATTCATTTGTGAGCACTTTTGCAACAAAGATTATAGGTTGAAGATTAATACGTCCAATAATTGTTTTAGACTCTAGGTCTATTAGGGCGAAATCCGTTTCAGGACATTTGAAGTCGATCTAGAAGTGTTCATCCTTCCTATGGAATGGTGCGCACTATAATTCTAGAAATTACTATCCGATTCCGTCTAAATTTCGTCCAAATTTGGTGCAACGCAATATTATTGTCAAACATAGATCGAGTTCGTAGATGGACAATATCGAACCACTCCCTCTGATACCTCCCCCACAAAAATTTCCCACATTATCAATAAAAAGAATTTAACTGATATAAAGTGACGGGATCTCCCGACTTTGTTGAAATTTTGCAAGTCCTAATATTTCTATGCAAGATCAGGTGCGAAAATGACAATGTTCGCCCACTTCTTCTAGTGCAACTCCACAAAGGGTTAATATTTTAAATAATCATAACTCTCATAAAATGTTAAATAAGAGTCCGATTGTCTTCAAATTTCACTCATTTTTTTCAAATTTCGCTCATGCTAACATACGTAGTTGAGTTATTATAGCTGGTGTCAAGGGCGGACAATTGTCTGTGTAGCAAGCCGAATTTGAAAGCCACATTTATTGTGGGCAACATGAGCTTTTGGCATAAGAAACAACCTCCGAACCCAACTCAAACTTTGTGGAAAGAAGCAGACGATGATTCTTAAGTCCAGACTAAAAAGATCCAAAGGTATGGAGGGGGGTATAAAGTGCTAATTTCATGAATTTATAGACGGTATGGCACATAGTATACCCTTCAGCATATCCACTAGGTTTTTATACCCTCAGCCATATGGCTATAGCGGGTATGTATAATTTAATAGGCCAAAATTTGCCTCACGATTTTAGACCCTAAATCTCTTTAGACTAAATCCGTTTCAGGACAATTTGAGTCGATCTAAAGGTGTCCATCCCTCCGCATGTCTGTCACGATAACTCCCGAAGGAGTATCCGATTATGTCCAAAGTTGGTACATCGTAATGGTTTTATCAAACATCGATCGAGTTCGGAGATTGCCAATATCGGCTCACTCTTTCTGATACCTCCCCCACAAAAGGTCAATATTGTCAAAGAAAATAATTTGCCTCATAGAAAGAGGAAGGATCATTCGATTTTGTGCAAATCCTAATATTTATTTCAGTCGTGTGCGATAATAGACCATATCGGTCCACCTCAAAGAGTCAAATTTTGAAATAATTATAATTTTTATAAAATGTGAAAGAGGAATCCGATTGTCTTCATATTTCACACATCCCAATATTTTTATTAATACAAGATCTGGTGTGAAGGTAGGATATGACGGTCCACTCCTTCGGGTCAAAATTTTGAATAATTATATCTCTCATAAAATGCAAAATAAGCGTCAGATTCTCTTCAAATTTTATGTATCCCAACATTTTTACTAACGCAAATACCTCTCCCACAAAGGGTCATCATTTCCATTACTTATATCTCATAACTTGCGAAACAACTCGGAGATTCTTTTCAAACTTGGTGTATATCAATAAAATATCTGATGTGAATATGGAAGTTATTGGCTCACTATTTCTTGTACCTCCCCCAAAAAATAATAAAAAATATGATAAACATTTTTTCCCAAAAATTGGTCATAGGTATCTGATTCTCTTCAAATTTTGCACATCCACATATTTTTATCTGATACCTTACGCAACCTTCAACATTTTCCAAAAAATATCTAATATCTCATAAAATGTGAATGTGTTCAATAGTTCCATAAAGGGTCAACATTTGGAATAACTATTATGCAAGTCAAAATATATTTGAATAAACTGACATAGGCTGAGGGTATACATCTTTCGAAAAAAAAACGACTGATACTTTTTAATTCGTTGTTTTTTTTTTCAATCCTTGTCAAACCTAAACCGATAACCGGATTTCCAACATCTATTCAGTGTTGCTCCATGCCAATACATAAAACTCCACAATGTTTGTTGCTTGTATTGGTATTTGTTTGGTGACAAAGATTTATCGCCAAAACCCTGCCGTTCACTACTACTACGACACACACACGCATGCACGCACACTATGCCAGTCGGCCAACATGCAACCGTTATCAGTTCATTGTGAAATTTGATTGTCTATGAGTTTACAAAGTATCAGCGCCCTCTATACGCCAGCTGACATAGAACAAAGAACTACTGGCATTGGTCCGTCGTCGGTCGTTGGGTCGGTCGACAGATACATTACTTTGTGTCTGTGGCGTGTGTTCCGTTAGGTGTGTGCGTGTATTGTTTCATTTTAATTGAAAATTTCTTCATTTCACTCGCCAACTATAAATTGCGAATAAGATAAAAACCACATTGAAGAGCAGGTCGGAATGGGAGGTGGCAACAGGATTGCCTGGAATAACTGCTGCGCTCATACAGAAGCTGGATGTTTTATTTATTTATTGGAGACAATCACATTCATTTAAACAACAGCCAACATGATGGTGCGCTTCAGTCAGGGGGGGGGATGAACTTCAATAAAAATTGTTGCAATCTTCTTTCCTGCAGGTGTAGTGTTGCCGGTGCCCGTTCAAAGGATTACAAATAACAATGGCAAACAATAAAAATAGCAATGCATTTCCAATTCAAGTTCAAACAAGCAATGGAAACTTTGACATGCTCGTATGGTGATCGTGACCTTTGACATCAGAAAATGCTTGGCGTTTATTTTTAGCATAGATTTGCCATTGATGGGCAAATAATTGATATTTGAAAAGAGTATCGGATTTGATTGCAAGTTTCCATCAAGGCTATCACGTGCTTTTCCCATTCATTCCATTTTCTAAAAAAAATTCTATTCTTAGATTTTGATGACTGTTTAGTTATCTCCTCAAACTTTTCCATGACAATACCTTAAAATAAGAAAATAGAAGATTCCCATTTTCTGCCCTGCTAACCTCATTTGCTCACCCACCCTCGTACCAAAGATAGTTATCTCGTTGACCAACTTATGGCTTACAGGCCTCTTTTATTGCGTTCGCTTAAATACTTGAGGGGTGTTGAGATTGCTCTGAATCACTTATTGTTGCTGGCTGTTGATGGCTGTAGTTGTGGATATTTTGTTGCTGATGGCCCTGCCGTTACTGCCGCCTCCATTGTTTTCATTGCGTTTGTAAGTCGACTTACGAACATCGTTGCCCCATTACGGTCAGCATTTAGTTTCTCAAATTCATTCTTGTGGGGGCGTGTGTGTATGTGTGGCTCGTCCACTTGTTCGGTTGATTGTCCTTGTGTTCCTTTTTATTCATTACTGTATTGTCTTCCAGTTTTGTCTCAGCCGTTTTGTTTTGATTCTCTTTTGTTCATAGCTCCACACAGGCAACAACAACAACAACAAGACCATCAAAATGAATTTTCATTGTCATTGTCCAGTTGTTGTAGTTGTGTCGGTCGGTCGGTTGTGGCAGTTGCTGATGTTGCCTTTCCTCGCAGAGGACAATTGGTCAGGTCGGGTCGTTTGGTTGAAAGGAATAAAGAAATGAATGAATGAATGGATAGCTGGCTGGCTGGCTGGATGGAATGAATGAATAAATGAATGGACGTCTGCTGTTGGGAATGGTCGGTTGGGAATGGCTGCGACTGGCAATTGTTATTACTATTATTATGTAGCAACTTTAAGTGAAGCCAACAGGCGGCGAATGTTAAGCAATTTGTGGCACAACACAAATAAATTGTCCATATTGTGGTCGTGTACTCTTTAATCGTGGAAAGCGAACGACGACAACGACGACCCAAAAGCGATGGCACTACACGCACACATTAACACATATATATATGTGTGTGTGTGTGAGTGCATATATGTAGATGTGACAGTAAAGAGGACCCTGACACTGGCAACGATCCTAACCAAATGAAGTGATGGCAATGAAAATGCCACGATTACAGACTTGAGCCTCGGTGGCTATGATTTCTGACACAAATGGTTTCATTGCGCTTTGGTTAAATTGGGATTGGTCATCGTCATCATTAATATCATGGTCAGCGTCAACATTGCTGTGGTCGTGGGGAATCTGTCGCTGTATTGTTGCTGGTTTCTTGCCAATATCCTTTTGGCAACCCTTCATAGTTTCCGTTCAACATTTTTTCTCCGCCACCAGCGTGAGCAACAGCCATCAGTTATAATTATGAATGGGTTGAATTGTTGTTGGCTCTCTTTCTCTCTCGTGCCCTCCTCCAGATTGGCTGGCTCATTTCATGCAGTTTTTGTGAGGACTGTCCTCATCTCCTCTATGGCTGCCAGAACATAATGGCCACAAAAGATTTATGAGCTACCATATTGAAGTCTTTGAATCCCAACAACGCTTGGCCTGCGGAGGAGTGGATTTTTGTGTCCAACATAGATTTAGTGGCCAGATTAACTCTTTCGAAATGGGATAAATTAAATGTCAAGGGTAATGGAAAGTGCCTCCATTCTTCCACACTTCATTCTGTCATGACTAAGTCTTAAGTCAAGAAATGAGTAATTAATTTCTTAACCCTCCAATCTGACTTGCAATTTATGTTGTTCTTCTTCTTGTTTTTTTTTTTTTCTTTTAGGTTTACAGCATGTCTACTCCTAAGTCGAGTCGGGGCAATGGGAGTGTATTCGGTGGAGCAAGTACTGGAACTGGTGGCAACAGTAATACAGGTAGCAAGGACAAAATGCGGCGCATACCCAATGTCCAGCCAGGCACCTTGGAATGTGAACAGCTCGTCAAAGAGGGAACCTATGGCCGTATATATGCTGGCAAATTGGGCGATGCCTGTGATGTGCTCATTAAGACCGTTGTAGATGGAGCTTCTTTGACCCAAGTGGCTTGCTTGCTACAGGATGCCTCGATGTTAATAGGTGTGGGTCATCAGAATATCATGGCTCCCATGTTGGCAAATACGGAATTGCCTGGGCCGCCCGAAATCGCTTATCCCTATCCGACCAAAGGAAATTTGAAAATGTAAGTCGATATTTTTCAAAAAACTTATATCGGTAACGGTTAGTTTATAATTTTTTTTACTTCCCAGCTTTTTGCAAAAATCTCGCGAAATGAATACACCGCTCAGCACACGACAATTGGTGGAATTTGGTTTGCATGTTACCAAAGGATTGGCCCATTTGCATTCGGTGGGAATAATACATCGAGACATAGCCACCAGGAATTGCTAGTAAGTATCCAGCATTACAGTACCTTTATTATCTAGCAATACTATCTCCATTCTCTCTTTCAAATCTAATTTACTTCTCCTTTTTGTTTCACTCTTCTCTAGCTTGGATTCAGATTCCTATGTGAAAATATGTGATAATGCCCTATCACGCGATCTCTTCCCCGATGACTATCACTGCCTGTGTGACAATGAAAATCGCCCCCTGAAATGGATGGCCTTGGAGTCGCTGCAGCAAAAGAATTTCTACAATCAACAAACGGACATTTGGAGTTTGGGTGTCCTATTCTGGGAGTTGGCCACCCTGGCAATGACACCATTCGAAGAAGTGGATATATTCGAATTGACACCATATTTGAGTGATGGTTTTCGACTGGCCCAGCCCATCAACTGTCCAGATGAATTGTATGTCAATGAGAATATTTTGTCATTATTTAATAGTATATTCAATTTTTTGTATTGTTTTCTTTTATTTTTTGTTATTAAATTCAGTTTATTCTTTTTTAAAGATTTTGTTTTATTTATATGTTGTTTGGAAAAATTTTTAATAAGAAACTATGTGATCAGAGTCCTGAAGGGCTTAAATTCAATATCAGAAATAGAAAATAATTTGAAAGTCCTTGGACAATTTGAAAATGTGTGCAATTTAAGGCGAACTTTGAGAAATAAGGATGAAATTATGACTATAATGATAACATGGTACAATAAGGAAGTAGAACAGCTTCGTAAAACAACAGAAATACAGCCATGAGGCTATGCCCGCTTCCTGTCAGACTCATTCAAAATTATCGCTTCGCTTCTAGCCGAAAAAAACGTTCAGATAACATATTCTAACCATTTCTAGCCTTTATAAACTATAAAAAGTCTTCGCTTCAAGTTTACTAACCTTCTAAATAATAGGCATAGTTTTTGGCTATTTAACTGCTATATTTAAATAATAATATTTTGGATTGCTTCAATTTCATTTACCAGACAAACAAAAGCACAGCCATAAATTCTAGGCACGTAGACCCCTCCTTAATGGACATTTTATCTAAAAGTTAAATTATTTTGATATAAACCCACTTTAAAGTTATGCTTTTGAAATTATCCATCATCTTTTGGATAGTAGAATATGTCCTCTAAGCAATGGTGAAAGTTTCATTTCAATATCACTAACCGTTTAAAAGTTATTAACAATTGTATGGAACCTTCATCCAAAAGTTACTTACTGTTTGATTCTGTTTGCCTGGTAAAAGGCGATTTTGCCAAATTTGTGAAATAATTTTTTGAGATGCAAGAAATCTGTTTTGCTGGCAAAATATGGAGCATGCTTTCAGGCGTTCATGGGTTAGCTGTTGAGTGATTGGTATCATTATATTAAAAAGGGCATAACTTCTAAACGCAAAGAGATATTAATGTGAATCTTTCACAAAAATTTAAAGAAAAGTTCGCACTATCGATGCTTAGATATTGTGCCTAACTTGTTCATAGAAACCCAGGGAATATAGCACCGGATAAATCGGGACGAATTTTATGCTTTCTACACAGGGGATTACTTATCCATTCAGAGGATCAATTGTCAATATGTCCTTATTTTCGGCAAGGGATCAACTCCCACTATGAACCCGAAATAACAGTTCAAGAATAATTCCATTAACTTCTATTTTAATTATATAACTTTGAATTTCTTAAATTTGGAATAAATAGAAGCTAAGATATAACAATTTTAGTTACCAAACAAACAAAACCACTGTCACGAAATTTAAGCACGAAGAAGACACCTGCTGGACGTATCATCCCAAAGTTTAATAACCTTAATATAAACCCACTTTCAAAATATGCGTTCATACCTGAACATTTCTAACCTCTGTACACTATAAAAAGGCTTAATTTCAAATTCGAAAGCTTTTAAAAACATGCTTCATTTTTGGGTATTTTGCTGTTTTATTTCAATAATATGATTCTGGATTGCTAGAGTTTCAATTACCAGACAAACAAAAGCACAACAATTAACTTTTTGCATCAAGGGCCCCACTGTGGTGGACCAAAATCCAAAAGTTAAATAATATTAATATTAATCCACTTCAAAATAATGCAACTATAAATGTCCATCATCTGTGAGATAGTAGAATATTCATTCTTAACAATGGTGAAAATTTCATTTTAATATCATAAACCGTTTAAAAGTTATTAACAGTTTAATAGAACCTTCGTCCCAAAATAACCTACTATTTGATTCTGTTTGCCTGGTAAAAGGCGTTTTTGCCGATTTTGAGAAATAATTTTTTGAGATGCAAGGCAACCTATTTTGTAGCGTAAAAATGGAGCATGCTTTCAGGCGTTCATAGAAGAACTTTTTGATGGTTGGTATATTTATATTAAAATGCGTATAACTTCTAAACGTAAAGAGATATTGATGTGAATCTTTCGCCAAAATTTAGAGAACATTTCACACTAATGGTAGTTAAGTATTGTGAATGACTTATTTTATAGAAAATACTAGAAAAAAGGTTGGTGTCAGACGGGTTGAATTTTGTGCCTTTCCTGACGACATTAATGGGTTTCTATTTGCCCATTCAGAACATCAAATGTCATTATGCCCCCATTTATGGTAGGGGGCCAATTCCCACTAGGAAAACGAAATACCAGACTTTTAGTGTTTTTAATAGAATTATTCTTAATTCCATTGAAAACTAAATAATTTTTTTACAATTATTGCCAAGAATCTATGATATTCATCAGACACCATATTACTATTTTATTATGATTTTTACTCGACATCGATTATTTTTGGGGAAGAAACCTGTTTTTAATTTTATTTATTTATTTTATGAAATTAAATTCGCTTTTCTTTCTAAATAGTTTTTATTTATATTTTGTGTGTGTAGAACAATGGATGGTTTAAATCCAACATCGCAAACAGAATGTAGTTTGGAAATAACAGAACAAGTTCGAAATGTATGGCGTGTGATGCGAACTTTAAAGAAATAATAGAGAAAATATGACTCAAATGGCCTTAACTTTTACATATTATTGATTGGACTCCATATAATAAGCGCTTCTAGTCGAAAACAACATTTAGATAATAAATTCTAAACATTTCTAACCCCTATAAACTAGATTCAGATTTCAAAAAATATGCATAATTTGTGGGTATTATGCTGTTTTAATTCAATAATATCATTCTGGATTGCTAGAGATTCAGTTACCAGACAAATAAAAGCACAACAATTAACTTTTTCAAGAATACCATACCGTTGATGGTAATTTTATCCAAAAGTTTCATATTTTTTTGATATAAACCCACTTTAAAATTAAGCAATAGAAAATATTTATTATCTGCTGAATAGTAGAATATTTCCTCTAAACAATGGTGAAAGTTTAATTCTAATACCACTAACCGTTTAAAAGTTATTAACAATTTAATGAAACCTTCATCCAAAAGTTACTTGCTGTTTGATTCTGTTTGCCTGGTAAAAGGCGTTTTTGCTGATTTTGCGAAATAATTTCTTAAGATGCAGAAAATCATTTTTGGAAAACAAAAAATGGAGCATGCTTTCAGGCGTTAATGGAAGAATTCTTGAGTGATTGGTATGACTGTATTAAAAAGCGCATAACTTCTAAACGCAAAGAGGTATTGACATGAATTTTTCAGGAAATTGTAGAGGAAAATTCACACTAGTAGTGCTTAGCCATTGTCATCAACTTGTTCATAGAAAACGAGAGAAAACAGCGTGGGATCGAAATAGACGAATATTGTGCTTTCCAATGTGGAATTAAAATGGTTTCCTACTTCTCTATGTAGAAGACTAAATGAAATACTATATAAAATGAATCACATGACCATTTTTCGCAAGGAACAAATTCCCATGTTTGAAATCTGGGATAGTTGGACTATAGATTCAAAATTGATCGTTAGTCCATTAAAAAGATTGTATTATAAAATAAAGTTCATCACACGGGATTTATTCAAAACATCTTTTTTGTGTTAAACGATTATACCCATTAAAATCCTATGGAAACAACGGGTCTCAAGATTTCTCGATAATCGTTAAAATTCCTAAAAAGGAGATACTCCCATTCCAAAATATGAGCTGATTCTCACTACCATAATACCTAGAGATCGTAACTTCTAATGCTGGTTATTTATGACTTGATTATGAAAAACTGGAAAAAGTATGGCTCTTATACATTCATATCCTGATCAAAAATCATTTTCCCCCTAAACTATTTGCTGAGCTTGTGCGTTCAAAATCCCAAAACAATAAAGTTTCAGATAATGGTAAAAAAAAGTTCGCAACTATTCAAATTATCACTTTCCAATGAATTTACCAAAAAAACATAGTGGATTGCTCTTTTTTTTCAACAAAATGCCAATGTTAGTTTTATTTAATTCAAAAAACAAACAAATCTTCATTAACGTTTAAATAAAAAATGTCTGTTTATTTGTTCAATTAGCTATCGTGTAATAATTTTTACATTTCAGCATATTTTTTATTTCGAACCAAAAAACAAAATGACAACAGAAAAAAACGACGTTTGAACTCGGCACATATTTATTTATTTTTATTCATTAATCAAATTTATTAACATATTTATTTTTGTTATATAATACATATCATTTTTACAACCACACACACACATACATATAGTAATATTCATTATAATTAAACGCTGCCATTCAGAGTAAATCATTTGTGTTTGTTTTAATTAAACAAATTTAAATTAGAAAATAATGAAACTGGGGCTCGCTCGCGCTTGCAGTGGTGCAGCGGGAAAACTCATCACTTTGATAGGATTGCAGCCGGGAAATGTCGTCCATTTGTGACCTCTGAAAGTAGAGAAATGTGATATGAAATTATAATTTATTGAAGGGAAATTTAAATATATTATAAAAACAGGAACAAATTGATAAAAAAAATAAAATATTGGGGAATTGGAAAAACTCTTATAAAAAACCTGTGAATTATTTGTGATATTGAAAAATACATTTAAAATAGTCTTTTTGATATTATTCCTTCAGAGAAATTATTATGACAGATTATGTTCATATAAATTGCTTAATTAACTCATCCTAACTTGAAATATTTGATATCCTACTCTCATATATATTTTCCCAAGCAATTTCCATGTTAATTCAATTTGTTTTCAATTTTAAGTTTACTTCAATTTCCATCTCCAACTTTATCTAATCAAAATTCTTTGCTCTACTCTATCGTTACAGCTTCACAGTTATGTCCTGCTGTTGGCTGGTGGATCCCAAACAACGACCGTCCTTTCCTCAATTAATTGCATATTTACAAGATTTCTATGAGGACTTAAGTATGTACATATAAGCTATACAATGTGAAACGAACCTCTTAGCAACTTATGCCCAACTTTGAAATCCAGTTAAGGACCTGAGCATAAACGGCTGGATGACTCCTTCTACACCTCATCCTTCTCTTGCTTACGCATCCTCATCCTTGATGGCAGGGAGCCCAATTAAGAAGCTACAATTAGAACTGAAAACAAAAAAAAACGAAATCCCAATGTTAGATAGAAATATGTAAATAGTTAAGAACAAATTTAACACATACAAAAATTATTGTTATTTAATGTAAATGAAAACTTTAAGAATATCCTCTCGCCTCTCGGCCAGCCGAGCAGAAGGTAGAGAGGCATACAAGAAACTGTTGTGGAAGTCAACAAACAACTCAAAGGATAGATTTAAGACAACCCAAAGTTGTATGAGAATTTAACTAAACACTAAACGTCTATTGATTTTAAATGGTTAAAAACGTGCACACCCAACACCCAATTCCTTAAGATAACAAATAATAGAAAAGGCAACAACTACTACAACACTTAGGCTAGTTAAACAAAGATTTAAATGTTAAACACTACAAATTTATCCTAACTGTATCTCTTTCTCTTATTCAAACATTCATTCACTCGGTCAATCACCCACTCTCTCTCACTCTCTCACTCTCATATAAACACTACTATGTAATCCTGTTTCTCAACTAACACAAAACATATATATATTTATATCCATACCTATGTGTGTATATCTGTCAGTATGAATGTATGTTTGTATGTATGTCTCCTGAACTGGAAATGAAATGAAGAAACGAATGTCTGTAATGTATAGAATTGTTGTATAAAAAGAAAAACAAATAATCTTTGATGGCAGTTTTCTTAATCAGTGTGTCAAGTCAATGGTATTTTCTTAGAGTCGTTTTTTTCTCTCTATTTGGTTTATTCACTCTCACACCCTCTGATTCATTCATACACTCACTCGCTCACTCTCCGATCATCTCTCATCTAACTTACATACTCTAAATGTCCTTTACTTTGCATATCCTTAAGTGTATTACTAGTGGAGTGATGTGGTGTGTCATGGCATGGCATAACTAACCATGTCATCCATGCCCACCATCAACCTACAAAACCAAAAAACAACAACAACAAATGTACGTAAATATACAACAAATAACCCAATAAATGAAGAGCAACAAAAACAAAAAGAAACCGAAAAAAATAATACAAACCAAATGTGATTGTGATTTTATGTATGTACGTATGTATCTCTGATGTCTATAAGAAACCTTGGATTACACAAGTCTACAAGTATTTGTTTTTTGGAAATGAGTAGAGGAGACAATGCGTTTTTTTCTTGTTTGAGAATGAAATTGTGCAACATAGAATAATAAAATCGAAAATTAAAAATAATAATGCTTTTGTTTCTTTTTTAACAATAACTGGGAATGTGATTCGAGAGTCCTGGCAACGTCCAAGGACATTTCAAAAATTAAGTCATATAATAAGTAAAACTTACGTTAAGTTCCTGGCCTGGTCGAAATTTTTTTTCTCAACCAAGTTAACCAAGCAACCAAATTGGTATTTCGAAATCCCAAAACCTTTAACTGTCGGGGTGACATTTGGGGACGTATTTTATGATATGGACCTAAATTTTCCCCCTCTTAATATTACAAAACAAAGTTTATTTTAAAATATTTTCTGTTAGTAATTCATTTTATAAGTATAAGCTTGTATACAGGGTGAGATAAAAAACTGCAAAAAAGTCAAACCCCATCATTTTTACATTTTTTTAATTTTAAAAAAATGTCGGAAATAACATCAAATTTTAGAATAAGTCTAGATTTGTTCGAATTGGTCACCTTTGGCACGAATTATGGCCTTCAAACGGCCAATGAAACCGTCCCACGCTACCCGAATGTTGCTCTGGAGTATTTTGGCCCATTCCCGGCAATACGCTTGCTTGAGGTGATCGACACTTTGGTTTTTTTAGTGCCAACCTTGCTTTGCAAAATACTCCAGACACAATAGTCCAACGGATTGGTATCCAGAGATTTTGGTGGCCATTGTGCGCTGGAAATGAAGCGAGGAACCTCATTTTGTAACCATTCTTGGATGGCGCTTGCTGAGTCCTGTTGGAATGTCCAAGGTCTGAAAGCCCAAGGCTTTAATACACCCTCCAGAATACCTTCGCGATAATATTCTGCATTTATTCTAATGCCACGGTCGATTAATACGAGCAGAGAGCGACTATCGGCTGTTATGGCGGCCCACACCATCATCATGGCCGGCGCTTAAGTTCTGGTGGCCAACCGAAGGTGCACATTTTCAGCTGACCTCTTTGGCAAGTAAACACGATCATTTTGTTTGTTTACAAACTGGTGGACAAAGAATGTTTTCTCGTCGGAGAAAAGCAAATTCGGCAGTTCATCACTTTCGGCCAAGCGGAGCAACTCTTTAGCTCTTTTGAGTCTATTTTCTTTCTGTTGAGGTGTAAGTTCTTGCACTTTTTGAATTGCAATGGCTTTACCCCGAGCTCATTTTTCAATATTTGCCGAATGGAATATTGCGAAATGTTCAGCTCACGAGCCCTTTTTCGGCCACTACGACGCGAGTTTCGATCAAGTCGCTTCTTTACTTTTCGAACCATTTCTGCTGATATTGCTGTTTTCTTCCGTCCACTTCCTTGACGTCGGGCTACGCTACCAGTATCACGGTAACGAGAGATGGTACGAAACACAAAATATTTATTCACATTTAAATGCTGGAGTACTCAAACGATAGCCACTTGTGGTTTTTCAGCCAAATATAAAGAAATCACACTATCACGCTTGAATTCCATCACGAATAACTATTTTTCTGGAAAATTTTCACCAAAATGCTTTTGTCCGTTTGTAAACAATATAATGAGCTGTCACTGAAAGAGTGGCTTAGAAATGACAGCAGTCTGAAGTTGGTTGCAGTTTTTGCATTCTATAGCCGGAACCCAATTTGAGGAATATCTGGTGAAAATGCTGCTAGAACATTCAAAAATCCAAATTGAAAGTGGACCTTTGTTTGAGGTTTGTTTCCAACGGTGGTGGAGGAGGGGCCCAAAAATAACTATTCCATGTCGAATGTAGGAAAAAGATCAGGAAAGTCACCATTCGGAGTGGACCCGTCTCTGGTGCCGCCAATTAACGTAACATTCGGAAAACAGAAGATCATGAAATCTACAGTGTGGATTTATGTTGGAAATTTTACCCAGGACTACTGTCAGCATCTGAAAAGTCAGAAAGTCTGATTGGAAAATGCATTTAAAACCTGAAAAGAATTCGACAGGAACAAGTAAATTCTAAGTAGTTGTTTTTACCGCCATTTTCAATTAAATCGAGCTAAAATGAACCGAAAAGTCAAACTGCAGCAGATTCAGTAGAAAATACGATACACATACCCATAGCACCCTAAATCGGATGGTATCTTCCAAGGACGTACACGGAAATACATGTCGCAGAGCCCTACTGACCAAAAAATAAATTCTCCAAGTCAAATATACAAAATATTTAAAAAAATAACAATTTCGGAATGGGTTCAGGTCCCACGAACCCTTATGTACGTGTCGGCTACGGCCATAAGAGAGCTATACCAATATACTTTTAATACCAAAAATTCCACCATCTCATAGATTATTTGAGCAAAAATAGATATACGCACCGCAATCTGATCACGATTTTTTACTTGTTGGAACATATATGACTATTTTGAGGAGTCATATTAATAAAATTGATATGGAATTAAAATATTTCCGAATCCTGAATTCAGGCTTCATGTTTAAGCAAATTCTTCTGTGGACTGTTCTCTATAACAAATACTTGTAAACTAGTGTAATATTTCTTTACAAACTAAAAATGTACAAATACTCAAATACTCTATATGTGTTTCCATGCAACCTTTACTAATACCACTGCCACTAAAAAAATACCAAAACTACTACAACTGCAATAGGAAAATAGGAAAAAATACCCATACATAGACGGCAGGACAAGGAAATCAACTGACATTAGTTTTCATATGGAAAATTGACTGAAAGTAGAATTGGTCGGTTGGTTGATTGGGCAGTCAAGCAAATCAAATACAAATTCAAATTCGAATCGAAACTAAACTAAAAATTGAGAGATTTTAACTAAAATTGTCTCAACTATGAAAAACTTGTTTCCCAATTTGTTTTTTTTTTTCTTTATTTTTGTTTGGTTGAATGTTGTATGGAAATGTTTTCTATGGTTGTGTGTGTGTGTGTGTGTGAATGTGTATATATGCGTGTGTGTGTCTTAAAGTGTGCGTGTTTATATTATAAAGGTTGATAACAAGTTTCAACTGCCACTTTTGGGTTTCTTTGCAGTTCTCTATCGATTCGTCCTGTTTCAATAGTGTAAATGAAGAGAAGCACCAGTAGGAAAATGAAGATGTAAATGATGATTAGTATAACGACGATGATGATGATGATGTTAACGGAAAAAGGAAAACCTAGTAAATGTGATTGTATTTGTATTGTTTAGTTTTAAGATAAAATTTATTTAATTTTATTAAATCGTCCCAAAATATTCCTAAATTGATAAAGGCCAGTCGGAGGCAAATTTTATGAACATTGTAAAGGATTTATATGCTTCAGGTCAAATGATAAAATTTGTTTGAAAATTGGGGTAAATTTTAAAATATACAAAAATGGACGCTTTATGATTTATGGGATAAAGAAATTCTTAAATTCCACTTTTGAGGCCTATAAAATATTACATAAATATTTCTAAATATTGAAAAATCGGCACACATTTTATAATAATTCATAATTCACAAATAAATAATCCAATCGTAGTCATATAAACTGCGCTTTTGTTGCAATAAATGTGATGTAAATAGCCATCTAACAAAATAAAGCCACATCGACTTCAGTGAATGCTGAGAAAAATGTCATTGAAGTCAATCCAGATGTGGTTTTAAGAAAGTGGGGTCATTTGGGATTTTCGACGGATGTATGTTCTCGAAAAAAAAAAAAAAAATAATAAACCTCCAATGGCTTAGAACTATATAAAACTGGCCCGAAAATTACACCGCGTAACACGAAACCCCTAGTAGATTTTGGCGTTTTGAAAGTGTACATGGCAAATTAACGCTAATAAAGGGGCAAGCTCTACTTCTCTCCTCTCCCATAATTTTTAAAAATTTTCGGTTTATGACACCTTTGAATCATTGAATTTTAGGTATATCGTGTCTTCAGCAACATTACTGATAACAATAGGTGGATAATTGTGGTCGAAAAGGGAGTCACCAAAGCGAAGTTTTTGGACCTATTTCAAAAACGGGATCATGTGGAAATATTTTACAAAATGATTTTACTATTAGTCCTGGAATATATTAATTGTAAATCTTACCCAAACACCAGAAATTCGAAAACGTTAAAAACACATGTTAGGCTTAAATCGTATGTCATTTGAGTTCCTTGCAAATCTGTCCTACAAGAAGCCGTTTTAGACGAATATTGTCAAAGACTAAAATATTCTTCATCAAATTTTACTGTAAGCCACCAAAGAAAAGGAATCCGTATTTCTATTTTTTATTAAGAAAATATTTGCCTCAATGTTGCAAAAAAAAACCGAAAATTTTTCCTAGATTTTTTGAACAATTTTTGTGGATTTTTTTTCAAGTTGATACATGAAAGTAACATAAAATTTTATTTTAGATAAGAAATCTTAAGAGAAGAAATATTCTACACAAAATTTCAATATAAATCTCAGAATAAACTTTATGTCTAGGTTCAACCGTTAATAAGGAAATTACATTCAAACTTATGGATTACAAGAGGAAATTATGTGTTTACTTT